AAGCAAAGTCTCATGTCAGACGTGAATGGCCCAAGTCAGTCGTAAGCCGTAATAGCCGATACTAAAAATAATTTCATTAGTATCACCAAGTGCCGTTTTTCATTTTCCAACTATTTACATTCAACGTTTGCAACTAACATAAGGTTCGTTCGCGTAGCTGTTAATTGTTCATGTTTAACCAAAACTTACAGGTTTTTGCGTTCGCGTACGAAAAAACTTGCAAAGTAGGGGAAATTGAGAGAGCAAAGTGACATTTCATTTTGAGGGGAAGCTGTTAGTTTCTGTTGGAAAAATTTTTGCCAACAGCAATTTGCCAATAGGGAAACAGCTGATCAAAAACAGCTGGTTGGCATTTACGCAAATCACAAAATTTAATTTGATGGTTTGGAAGATAAAAATTACAAAATGCGACTAATTAAACTTGTAAGAAATAAGTAGTTATTTGTTTAATCAATAAACTGTGTCAGTATAACACTTTGCGATGACTTTTCGTACGTTTTAAATTTTACACTTTTGTATGTAAACAAAAATTATATCAGCTGTTCGTCTAACTTGCAAGTTTCTGCAAATTTTCTGTTCGCGTACTATTTTGGATATTTCTCTCTTGTGAGCGAACAGATGACATTTCGCCGGAATTTGGCAGTTGGTTGGTTTCTGTTGGAGATTTTAAACGAACGCACCTATAGTTGTGAACGTTTGGCGCGATCTGCACTCGTACCATTTTGTTGCATTTTTTGCTGAATTTTTTGCTGTTTAATATGTATTACAAATGTAAATTACAGAAATATTAGTTCTTCTTTTAAACTATGGAAAATGGCGAATCGATTCCTCAGAGAAGAAATCAAACAAAAAACCGGCCCAAACGCGAAGAAAAAATAAATTTTAGAAAAAATGGTTGAATAATTACAATTGGATTAGGCAGACTCCAAATTCTTTTGAGGCAAGATGCATAATATGCTGCGTAAATTTTTCTGTTTCAAACGCGGGAATAACGGACTTAAAGAAGCATATGCAATCTTCAAAACATTGTTATATAGTTATATTTTTTAATTTTTTATCGCTTGTGAAAAAGTATATGAAACATGTACATTTAAACTAATGCTGTCAAAGAAAATCTTGTACGTTGTATACAGTGACTCAAACAGGTGTTCAAGTATTGATTTTTTTAATATTCTATATCTATTTATTTTCCAAATATGTTATTTCTATTAAAAGCTTGGACACTATTTTTATAAAAAAAAAATTACTTGAAAAACATTGTATAAGTATTTCATAAAATTGGGTATGTTTTTATTTTGTAGCAAAATTAATGTGCTGTTAATAAATTCGATTTTCCACGAAATGTACTGATTTTTCGGTAAAAGGATCTGGCAACCCTAATGCTAGTGGTTGTGCCGGAAGCTCGCAAAACTCCCCAAATGCTGCTAAATGTAGTGAAACCTGTTAAAAAGAATATAATTAGTAATATTGTGTTTAAACACATTATTCTTAACAAAATTTGCTAATTGCTTGTGGGCGATGCTCATAAATTTGTTTGTTTACATTTGTTCAATTTTCATTTTGACGTTTCTTCTCATTTGACAATCAATGTTGCCAGCAACATTTCACGGCAAGCCAAATGCATGTTGCTGGCGAAATTTCACGGCTATGAAGTCAGGGCTCGAATCGTAACATACGATCTCGTATTACTCGTCACGTAAAAACACACTTTTCGGATCATAACATACGTGAACGAATTGCTTATATCGTAATTCGGTGTGATGACATACGTAGTCTGTTCCAATAGCAGTCCGGTTTACAGGATTTAGTCAGAACTTACAGGAAGTCGTTCCTATTGACATAAAACCTGTAAGTGGGAACACATTTGAGAGAGTAACTGAGCAAATGTTCCTAGTCAGAAGTTACAGGATTTAGTCCGGAGTTTTTTTTCCTGTAAGTTCATGAAAAGTGTCAAACGATCAGCTGATTTGCATGTGCAAGCAAAAACAAACAGCGGTGAAAGCAAGGTACCCTATATTTGTAAAAAAAAATGGAATTAAACAACGAAATGTTTGAATATGTATAGATTTTAATAATTATTTAGTGATATTTCAGCTAAATCAGTGTTGTACAAATGACATGTAAACAAACCGACTGACGTTTTTACAGGAAATAGTGCTTTTTGCGTTCCTATGCACTTCTGAATCTGTTCTCCTTTTACTCTCATTTGAGAGAGTAAAATTGTAGTTTGACAGTTCCACAGGTTTTAGTCCGAAGTTCAAAGGAACAGACTAACGGTAACGAGTGACGAGCGTACTCGTTCGGTCGAAATGTCATTCGAGCACAAACTAGTTGCGATCCCGTACGAGTCCGGACTAGTCAGAAACAGTCAGAATCAGTCAGATTTTACTGGAAATCGATCCCGTACTCGGTTCTCTGACTATTGAGAGGACAAAAAAGAGAGTAAATACGGTTCCCTCTCTGTCAGAAGTTACTAGTTTTAGTCCGAGAATTTTTTGCTGGTAAATGTGTCAAACGATCAGCTGTAGTGTGTTTGGCAACCAAATTGTAAACAAAAGAAAAGTGCACTCTGCTAATTCATGTTGAAAAGTATTTAATTACTTGTTGAAGTGGATTCTAATGAATTTGAAAGTATTTTTGGCTATTTAAACGTGTGAGCTGAGTGTGTTTACATACAAAATAAGCAAAAATTTACAACCAAAATTTGGAGGTTATGTTGAAGTTGACAGAAGTTACCATTTTTTACTAGAAAGCGATCCCGTAGTTTTCAATGTTACTCTCTCGCTCTGAGCGAATTTTTATTTTTTGACAGTTTTACTAGTCCGAGTCCGAGGAATACGGGATTGCACCTACTATCAATCGAGTTGGAACAAATTTAAACAACAATGCAAGTATATTGTTAAAAAGTGTGTATAAATAAAGTTGTTAACTACTTTTATTATTATAGGACAAAT